AATGTTTATGGTAAACTTACACTAGAAATGAGAAGGAGGAACCTCACTTATGTCCTTTACTTCATTGTTGGGGAGCGAGAAGAGGGCAGGGGGGAATAGATGAAGAAATTGAAACCTTCCACAGCATAAAGATAACATCTGACAATCTTCTGAAAACATTTCCACTCCTGCAATAGCAAGTAACTGGTCTACGTGCACCAGACAGTCCCTTTCTGCTGCATTTTGCTATGCTACCAAAGAAGCCCTGCCAAAATGCACAAAGGTCCTACATTTTGCATTTCTTTTTTCTTTATTCTTTCTGTTGCTGTTGTTCATTCCTCCTTCTTCTCATGCCCAGTGTAAGTGCCAGGAGGTTCTAAGCCCCGGGAGGTTTGCTGCTATCCGGGCTCACTGAACATGTGATACTTGTGCAGGGAGGAATAAACAACTGATTGAACAGCCACAGGGTTGCAAAGCTTGTAGTTCCCACAGACTCCGGAAAAAAAAAAACCCTGGGTTTCAGTCCAGTTTAGCCCATGCCCAAATTCCAAGCCATACAAGCTGTCTGTGAACGCTGTTTTAATTCAGCTCTAATTATCATTTGTATTGTGATAGCACAGCAGTTACTGTCATTATCAAGAGCAGCTACTGTGCTGGTTGCTATACCGATATGGGCTAAAAAAGGCAATCTCCCTTCCAAAGAAATCACAGGGTAATTAGGGATACATCAATATTTACATCAGTCAAGGGTGCAGAGAGCTCTCTGCAGAAGACCTGCTTGCAACCAGTCAACTAGAGGTGAAGACAGGGGCTGGTGGACAAAGTGAGAGCCCAGAGACACTAGTCCTTGCGAGGAACTAGCTATTAGATAACTAAATATAGGTTCAGTTTTTGAAATATGAAAGGGTTTTCAGGGGCTGCAGGTTTAAAACATTGGTTGAGTGCCAGATGATTGGTACTAGTGTTATTTCAGCCCTCAGTGGCTCCATCCTCCTACACTCTCTTTCCTCCCGAGGCTGCAACACCTTTAGTTTCCCCAACTGTTACAGCTCCCCAACTTGTTCCTTCCTCACGTGTTTCTTTTTTTTTTCTCTCTGTTAGTGCCTCTGATTCAAGAAATCCATTTTCTGGTGGTCTTTACTGGTGACTCCTACCTCTTCTTCTTAATTTTAGGTTTCTGCCCCAATTACCAGCCAAGTGCAGAGGACAGCAAGTGATCAGAACTGGTCTGAAGATCTACAATGCATGAGAAGAGCAACTATGGGAATTAAACCCGGCATAGGAGAGAAAGATGTGACAGGAAGGGGCAGAATCTGTTTCTGCATCTTCAATGCCTTTTAAGGCATAAAGAAATAACCAAGGTGTGTTGAGTGTGACCCTGAAATAACCAGGGTGTGTTGAGCTGACTCATTCCAGACTGCGTGCTCCCATGCTCCCAAAGCCATGGAGCTCGCTGCCCCATGTCTTGATGCTCCATCATTTTCCAAGTTCCTCAGGGAAAAGGTGCCACCTTTTCCTCTCTGCCAGCCTGTAGCAATTTTCTTCCCCTTCCTTCATCCGTATTTGTACACTGTTAATTTCAGATCTTTTGCTTTTCCTTCTTCTTTCCCATTCCTTGAGTCTGACTAACCTTGTAACAGAGAAATAAGGAGACTTACCAAATGCATTTGTTGTCTTCACACTGTGCTAAAGATCCTGCTTTAGGCACTGAATTCCAGAGTGGTCTCAGCTGTTCTTCCCCTCTGCCCTCTCTCTGCCTCATTTCAGCAATTCCCTTTGTAAAAATGTCACCCTCTGCTTTCCAAGCTTTCTCTCACTTTCTAGGGTAACATGAATCCTTCATTTTGTGTCTCTGAATAACTTCCTGAAGATGCATTTTCAGTTCTTCCCATTCTTTCTTTCACTGCAGACTCTACTTATTGTCTGGCCATCTTTGTATTTTGCTCTCATTCCTACCTTCATAGACTTTTTCTTGCAGGATTTTTTGCTTGATAAACGTCAGTCAACTAAATAAAGTCCCTTTCCTCATGAGACATGGGGTTTGTAAGTAGAGCTTTTATGTGCCCAAAGCTCGTCCATTTTTTCCAGTTCCATATGTTGGCCTAATACAAGTGTTACCTTTCCTGACAAAACTCTTCCTTCCTAAATCCTGACCACCCTGGCTACAGCTCCTGGTTCCTTTTCCAGTGGACACCTCTTGCATGGACATCCTTGGGGAAGGTTCAGCTGATCCATCTTTCCTGTGCGAGTGGTAGGTCTCATGCCAGCAACGAGTCCTCTACAAATGAAAACTCTCTCTTCTCTGAGCTTGAAATAGGCTTTTTAAGCAGAACAAACCCATAAAATTTTAATGCAACGGACCGCCTGTGTGTTTTCACTGAATTTGGAAAAACAAAACAAACAAACAAACCCCCAAACTACCTAACTCTACAAGGATTTTAAAGGTTGGTTTGAAAGATAAAGAATCACCCTGACAGTCCATATCTTGAAAATGGTCTGTGAAATAATATGACAAGAATGGTGATTAACTCTCACCACAAAGGAAAATGTTGAGTTGCTGTAGGTGGCCTGTAACCTCCCCCTTCTCTTTATGAGTCAGGTAAGAAAGTGGAGGTGGGGTCTGTGGGATGGACCTGTTTTCATTCCAGCCAGCTAGTGGTATGATTTTCACAAGAAAAAAAAAGATTTAATTATTAAAACTATATATATTTTTTACATTAAGTCTTACTTAAAATCTAGCATTTACCTTTGATCCACAATGATACCCTTTGTAGTAAGTGATAGTCAAGGAGGAATGGTATTAAACAACTCGGTCACTCCCAAGGTTAAAATACTATTTTGGGGGTAATACCTTATTACCTCCATACATGCTTCTGTCTCTCACCCAATGCACATAATTCTACAGTCATATCTCTGTCTCCAGAAAAAGGGGGCAGTTGAATAGCCAAGACCCCAGGCTTGTCCCACACAGAGTCCTTTTCAGAGCCAGAGCATGGCTGTCTGGGAAGCAGAAAAGCATTTCTTTCACAACAGCTGCACAAAAGTGGCTTAACGAATGTATAAAACAAGACCATGGAGAAGAAGAAAAGCACTTTCTTTGCTTTCTTTGGATCAGGCCTGCACACAAAGGACAACTAAAACAAAAATAAATAAGAATAAAAGTGGTGTCTGTTACCTAAAATTATGGATTTTCCATTGCCAAAAATAAAAAACTTAGAAATGTGAAGAAAACACCATTATCTCAGAAATTCATGGGATTAGGGGTTTTGCAGTCATCCCCAGGAATGAATTTTCAATGGGAAATTTGAGCCTGAACAAGCTGCTTTCTTGAGTCTACTTCTCAATTTAGGACCGTTTTCCATATAGCAGCTATGTGTGTCAGAGGAAGGGCAGAGAGCAGCATATCTCAGGTGCTGAGAAAGATGCAATAGGATCAGACTATCAGCATGAGTCACTTCACCGGTACAGCTAGAGAATGGAAGATCTGGAATAGAAAATATACGTATTTGTATGTACACAGGCATGTAAAGGTAGGCCTTTATGTATATGTAAAGCTATGTGTATATATATGTATATATCTATCATGTATATACATCTATATGTATATATCTTTTCTCCTTACCTATATACATAAACATATATATTTCATGCCATGTTTCATTACTCTCTCTCTCTATATATATATGTATGTATATATAAATAAAGGTAAGGAGAAAAGATGGAGTAGGACAAAGACTCAAAGAGTAAAGAGACAGCATGGGGGGGGAAAAAAAGCCAAAAAAAAAGGTGGAATAAGACAGTGATCAAAACAAGATTTAAGGAAGGAGAAAGCAAGGCAGAATAGAAAAGGATAGAAGAGAAAAAAAAAAAACAGGGAAAAAAAAAGAGAGAGGACACATGAAGGGGACAAATGGGATAAGAGGCATGAGTAGACAGAAAGCAGTGAGAAGGGGGAAGGTAAAACAAACGAGCACAACGTTTCACAAGGCAGAAATGCTGAATTGTCGATAAAACACGGAAGAGAGAGGTGTGGAGGGCCGCAAGAAGGCCGAGCTTGTGGAGCAAGGAAGACGTGACAAAGCTGCTGGTGGAAAAGGCACCTGCCAGGAGAGGACCCTGCGAGCGGCAGGTGAAGGTGCTGCTGCCGCAGTGAGGGACAGAGCCAGGCTGGGGAAAGCAGGAGGCTACAGCTCCGGAGGGTGGGAACAAAGGATAAGGCCAAGGAGAAGAGAGGGGATTCCACTCTGCTGCCTTCCGAACGCTTCCACGTTGCCTCTTCTCGTCTAAAATAAAAACCAAGGTGCTCATGGAAATCACTCAGATATTTGAGACTTTAAGAAACTAATTACTTGCCACACAATCCTTCTTCCTCCTCCTTCTTTCCCAGTGCTGGATTAATTAATTACCACACACTCCCCAGCAATTCCTCCCCATGAGGGAGGAAAACCCCACACCTCACCCAGTGAAGGCAGCCCTTCTCTCCGGCCCTCTCTGCACACAGAGGTTGTCACAGCAATGTCAGCAGACAGACCTAGATTCCCTGAGGCTCCCAAATCGCCAGGATTGTGTTTGGCACCACTAGTGGGATGAGGGCAGAAACGGGAAGCAACCAGGGGCGCATGCTGACGGGAAAGGCTTTTCTTCTGCTTTTACAATTACCAAATCTCACCGGTATGGGAGAGGGAAATGCTGCTGGACAAATAAACTGCGGCCCCGTTGCTCGTCGAGCAGGGGACAAAGGAGCGCGGGGCGGGCGCTGCGGGGACGAGGCTCTTGCCGCGATCAGCATGTGCCCAGCGCAACAAAAAAACGGTGAGGAAAGAACATGCTGTACCGAAAACGGTATGGAAGCTGCAGGGCAGACCCCGGGAATGTCAGCGCGGCTCCCAGGAGCCCCGGCCAGGGCGGCGCGTTACCGGCAGGGGCGGGAGGCGGCTGCAGAGCCGCCGTGCGGGGCCCTGCCCGGCTCCCGCCTCCCCGGCGCGACGCGGCCCCGCACGGCCCCGCTCCCACCTCCGCACCGAGGAAACCTCCGTCCCAGCGCAGCGAGACGCTGCGGGCCCCGGCCCCGGCCCGCGCCGC